TTTTCCTATCTTTATTGTATCATTCCTAACAGCTTGCCACATCTTATATTTTCCTCCACATTGAATTAAAACTCTTCCTGGATTCACTTCCCCCTCTAGTAATTGTCCCTGACATAACAAACTTCTTTGAAAGAGTTGTATGTATTTGCTCTAATTTGTCTCCTCCTGGACTATCTTGATCTTGCTCTAATCATGCTGTCGTGCTCATTGTTAACGCAACTCCATACTTCCATTTGCCTAGGCCAAAAACTTTAGGGTCATCCTTGACCACTCTCTTTGTCCTCATATCCCATATCCGCAGCAAAACCCCGTTGATTGTTTCAAAATCCTGTTGACTGTTTCAAAAATACATTTTGAAGTCCTGCGAAATATATCCAGAGTCCAGTCGTATCTTACTCCCTCTCCCACCACAGCTGGTCCAAGCCACCATCATCTCTGGCCTGGATTATTGCAGTAGCCTCTTTACTAGTCTTGCTTTTGTCTTACTCCCCTGTATTTATTTGCTTTGGCTACAGTAACAAAGTACCACAAACTGAATGGCTTAAACAGCAGAAATGTATTATTCTGCAGTTCTGGAGGCTAGAAGTCCAAAATCAAGGTGTCAGCAGGATTGTTCCTTCTGAGGGCTGTGAGGGAAGTATTCATTCTAGGCCTCTCTCCTTGGCTTGTAGATAGCTGTATTCTCCCTGTGTACATGCCTGTGTCCAAATTTCCCCTCTTTATAAGGATACCAAGGGCTGGCCAATTAGCTCGGTTGGTTAGAGCATAGTGTTATAACACCAAGGTCAAGGGTTCGGATCCCCATCCTGGCCAGCCACCAAAAAAAAAAAAAAAGATAAATCTTCCAACAGCTCTGTAAAAGCCAGAGTCTTTCCAGTGGCCTTCAAGACCCTGCATTATCTACTCCCTCCCTTGCCTCTTTGTCCTTATCTCCCTCTACTTTGAAAGACAGTGTCTTATGTAGTGCTTCAAAGCAAGGAGTCTGTACCCTCACTGCCTAGGCTTAGATCTTAGCTGACATTCACTAGCTGTATGAACTTGGGAAAGTTACTCAAACTTTGTGCCTCAGTTTTCTCATTTGTAAAATGGGATTAATAAGAGAATATGGTGGATCGTTCAAAACCCCTTCCTACTTCCCTTCAGAATGAGTTCATACCTGAGGAAGTTCTTCTTTCTTTGACCTATGCAGCCAATGCTGGTCCTTGTCCTGAAAACTTACTGCCTCCTAAGAAAATTAAAACTCCAAAGGTGCGTATAAACATGTAGAGTACTTGGAACATTATTTTCTGGTAATCCAGTTCATTAAGTATTTATTGAGTATATGTTATATATTCCAGATAGTCTTAAAACAATTTTTTTTTTTTTTAAAGATGACCGGTAAGGGGATCTCAACCCTTGACTTGGTGTTGTCAGCACCACGCTCAGGCAGTGAGCGAACCGGCCATCCCTATATGGGATCCGAACCCGTGGCCTTGGTGTTATCAGCACCGCACTCTACCGAGTGAGCCACGGGCCGGCCCTGGATAACTTCTGATCTATCTCTCTACCTGTCTCTAAATTGCTTTTTTAACTTGTCTATTGAATCTTTAAAATATTGATAGAGTTTATTTTGGGAGCAGTTTAGGTCTCCTGTATATGCCGTTCCCCCTTTCCTTCTCCCCGCCTCCCTATTAACATCCTGCCTTAATGTGGTACATTTGTTACAATTGATGAGCCAGTATTGATACATTATTAACTAAAGTCCTTAGTTTACATTAGGGTTCTCTCTTTTTGTTGTACGTTTATTTGGCTTTTGGACATATGTAAGAGTATGAGTTTGCTAGGGCTGCCTTAACAAATACCACAGACTGGGTGGCTTAAACAACAGAAATTTATTTTCTCATAGTTCTGGAGGCTAGAAGTCTAAGATCAAGGTGTCCTGATCTTAACGAGGTTACCTGACACCTAAGCTCTTTTTATAAGGTTTAGGGCCCACCTTAATGACCTTATTTTAACTTAATTACCTCTTTATAGAGCCTACCTTCAAATACTGGAGTATTAGGAGTTAAGACTTTAACATATGAATTTGCAGGGGGGGAAGAGGAGGGCACAATTGAGGCCATAATATGTGTCCATCATTACAGTGTCATATAGAATAGTTTCACTGCTATAAAAATACCCCATGCTCTACCTATTCAACTCTTGTTCTCCCACAACCCCCTGGCAACCACTCATTTTTTTACTATCTTCATAACTGACTTTTACAGAATGTCATATAATTGGAATTATACGGTATGCAACCTTTCCAAATTAGTTTCTTTCACTTAGTAATATACATTTAAGGTTCATTCATGTCTTTTCATAACTTGATGGCTCATTTCTTTTTATCACTAAATATTCACTTTGTATTTCAAATATTTTTAAATTTTTAATTTTAAGAAGTTCTATTTGGTGCCTTCCTAGATTTGTCTATTCATTTTGTGTTGCAGGCCTGTTTTTGTGAGTCCATGTGTTATTTCTTTAAACACTGCATACATAGTTATTTTTGTATTCCATGGCTGATAATTCTAGTATCTTGAAGTCCTCAGGGGTCTAAATCTGTATGTTGTTTCTGCCCTTATTTGTAGTGATTGTTTCCTTTCATTTTTGTGATCTGTGATTGTGAGCTCATGGTGGTTGTTCTTCATTATTGGGTATCCTGGAACCTAAAGTGGGGAATGCTTTTCTGCAGAAAGGTTGGGCATTTGAATCATCTGGAAACCAGGGGGCACTACTGACCTAGAATCACTCCAGTCTCTTTTGAAGGTTGGTTTAATATGGGAGTGTCAAGTTCATCTCCGTTTTGCCACATCATGATGGACATTTGCTTTCAGGGCAGCCTTACTTTTTGGTTGTTGCTCACTGTTCCTCATCTGGTTTTAGCTTATTATGAGTTTGTGGAGGGATTTTCGTCATTTCTGTGAGTCTAGTGAGTACATTCTGAAAGTCCATTTTATCTAGGATTTCATTGTTTTGTAGGTGAATATCCCTTCAAACTGTCTAGTCAGGCATCCTGCCAGAGAAGGTTTCAGTTGCCTGAGTTTAGTGATGGGTAGAATGATGGTGATCATATTAGACACCTTTGTGTTGCCCTGGGCATCTTCTTAATTTCACTCTCAATCACTCACTCTTCAGGATCAAACTTTGGGCCCTAGGCAAATGACACATTTCCTGTGGGCCAGCAGTCCATGCTGTTGGGAATGGAAAGTGATGATGGTTCGTTTGGATACTGCCTCCATATGCTAACCTGGGTGAGCTTTTATTTCCCTGTGGGAGCTCTGATGAAAACTAGATTTGAATTTATTTCTGGCAAAGAAAAATCTGGAAGACAGGTATAGTAACTGGAAAGGCACAGGATTAAAGTTTAAATCCCAGTTTGGCCATTTAGCAGCTATGTTAGTTTGCTGGTACAGGTTATGTAACTTCTCTGAGCCTCAGAAATCTCAACTGTAAGGAATAACAAAAGCTATGACTTACTGATCATTTACAATATGCTAAGCACTGTGCTGAGTTTTTTGTTTGTTTTGTTTTGTTTGGCTTTGTTTGGCAGCTGGCTGGTATAGGGATCAAACCCTGGACCTTGATGTTATCAGCACCATGCTCTAACCAACTGAGTTAATCAGCCAGCCCGGTGCTAAGTTTTTTACGTACATTTCTTGTTTAGTATTCAGTAACAACCTTATAAGAAATAATTATTTTGCCTATTTTAATTACGAGAAAACTGAAGTGTAGAGAGGTTAGGTAAAAGTGGGTTATTGTTAAGGCCAAATTTAAATGAAATGACACAGGTAGCATGCCAGGCACATATAAAGTGGTCAATAAATAGCAGCTAACATTACTCTGATTACTAACATTTTCTGGTTATAAAATTTAGTCTCTTATGTGATATGGCCCAAATAAGGTTCATTTACTTAATAAATATTTTACAGAGCACTTACTTCGGCTATGTGTACTGCTAAATGCTAGGGAAACAGTAGGGAATAAGACAAATATGGTCCCAGCACTTAGGGAACTCCCCTTGGAGTGAGGGAGATGGACACATAAACATTTACAATTCAGCTTGGGAAGTGCTATGATGGAGCAAGAATAGCGTGCTTTGGGAGTTGGGAAAGTTCTACTGGAAGAAATAACCTTTAGAATGAGTTAGAGATGAGGGTGGGGAGAACAGGCAGAGGTAGTAGTGATTATGAAAGCCTGCAGGGGAGAAAATCATGCTGCATTTAAAGGAGTGAAAGTATTTTTTGTGTATAGGGTTTTAAGAAGTGTGGAAAGTGAGGCTGAAGAGGTGGGCAGGTGCCACATTCTGAAAAGCTTTGTAAGCCCTGCTGCAAGAGTTGGAGCTTTATCTTTAGGACATTGGAAAGCCTCTGAAAGTTTTTTGCCCAGCAAAAAATCAAGTTTTAAAAAAACCAATCTGGCTGAATTGTGAAAATAACAGTAACTTTAAATACATTATTCCATTTAATCCTTAAACCAACACTCAGAGGTAGATATTATCTTGATTTTACAGATGAAATTGAGTCTTGGAGAGCTTTTTTCACTCACAAAAATTTACACACTTAATAGGATGTGGAGTCATGGACCTATGTCTTTCAGCTCTAAAGCTATATTGCTGTAACACCTTCAAGTAGTTGATTTGTTATGACCTATTTTATGTTTATTCTGTGGGAAATATTCATTTTATAATATAATTGGCATACTCTGTGATAGTTTACCAAGTATTTTACATCATTATTTAACTTAATCTCCTTACAACTATGAATTAGGTGGTGTTATCTCCATTTTACAGATTTGGAAACTGAGCCTTGAGCTGTGGGATTCTTTATGGTCCCATACACCTACAAAGTGGTGGAGTTGGGACTTAAACACCAGGCTCTGAGAGAAGAAGGCTTTTTTTGTGGGTATCTTATCATCATTCCACACTTCTTTCTTGGATCTGTGCCCTTTGTTGTGTGTATGTTTATAAGGCTCTTTCCTTCCAGGTTTTGGAGATCATATTCATTGGAGGACACTAGAAGATGGGAAGAGAGAAGCAGCTGCCAGGTACAGAACATGGTTTTAGGTCATTTATGGTGGTAAAACACTTTCCAGCCATCAACATAGCATTAATTCAGGTGAAGTGATATGCCAAGGCAGAGCAAAAACTGAATAGTTGCCTGATAACAACAACAATAATACTAGCTAACATTTAGTAAGTGCTTATTTTGTATGTATTAAATTATGTGAATTAACTCATTTAATTTTCACAACAACTCTTTGAGATGGGTATTGTTGTTACCTTCATTTTAGAGATGAGAAAACTAAGGGACAGAGCAGTTAAATAGCTTGCTCAAGATCACACAGTTAGTAAATGACAGAGCCAAGATTCATACCCAGGGAATCTGGCTTCAGAATCTGCATTCTCAACCAGTATACCACACTGCCTCCTAGGCTCAAATTGAATAGACCCAAGTCCCAAGTAGTTTATGCACAGATAACTCAGTACATGAGGAAGAGACAGAGCAGGGGAGGGAAGGCTAAGCCCTGGTGTAAGTGTTTTACATGCATTGATTTATTTAATCCTTACAACAACCTATGAGGATGGTACACCTGTGAAATAACTGTTATTTTACAGAAGATACTGAAGTACAAAAAAGTTACGTAACTTGCCAATTGTTATACTGCTAGTAAATGGCAGAGCCAATACTTGAATGTTCTCTACTGTACTGTACCAGAGATATACAAACACCTACTCCACCCCAGTATATGTGCACCTACATTGTCCACACAAATATTTGAACAGACATGCTCATACTTCTGCATCTACCAAAGTATAGTGCTTGCTGTTTGTTCCTAGAACTGATTCTAGAGTTTAAAAAAAGGCCCTGGGTCTGAAACCTTCTGCAGGAGTAGAGTTGCCAGATTTAGCAAATAAAAATAAAGGATGCCTGGTTAAATTTGAATTTTAGATAAACAACAAATAATTTCAAATATGTCCATTCAATATTTGGTACATACTTATACTAAAAAAAAAAAAATGTTGTTTATCTGAAATTTATTTATTTTTATTTATTTATTATTTTTTTTTAAAGATGACCGGTAAGGGGATCTTAACCCTTGACTTGGTGTTGTCAGCACCACACTCAGCCAGTGAGCAAACCGGCCATCCCTATATGGGATCCGAACCTGGGGCCTTGGTGTTATCAGCACCGCATTCTCCCGAGTGAGCCACTGGGCCAGCCCATATCTGAAATTTAAATCTAACTGGGCATCCTGTATTTTATCTGGCAACCCTACCATAAAGAAAAATTCCTATTAGTCTTTCACGTTCTATAGCAAATGACTATTCCTAGATAAAGTCTTCAATGATTTCTCTGGGCAGTTTGTTTTTCTCTTCTGTTCTTTTATAACCTCATCTATATCTATCCACTCTAGCATTTATTACTATGATTGTACCTGTAGGTGCCTGATTCTTCCCTTTCAGAACCTTATCTCCTGTGGGGGAACTGTTTTATATTCATCTCTCAATTCCCAACCATGGAGATGTTGAGTTATTGAAATGGTTATTGAATAAACATTTACTGAGAGTCATTAAGTGTCAGAGGAGGAGTGAAGGAGAACGAGCATTTATGAATTGCCTTCTATATGCTGAATATAGTACCGATTGTTTTGCAGTGTCTAATGCTTATTAAGGCCTCATAATAAATGGATAGGCCTACTCTTTGGCCACAGGGAGATCACATTCTCCTGAGGGCTATAACATTTGGCATAAATAACTGATGCCATTGTAATGTCTGCGTCTCTTGAGAAAGATAGCATAGAATTCCTGTTTCCATGGAAACAAGAGGCCCTGTAAGCGTCAAGGAAGGCAGGACGTGAAAGTGCACTTCCGGTTTCCGCCGGATACGCGGACAACCCGGAAGTTGACGCAGCGCGTTTGCACATGGCAGCTCTCTGAGAGGATGCCGCTGGTGGTGTTTTGCGGGCTGCCGTACAGCGGCAAGAGCCGGCGTGCGAAAGAGCTGCGCGGGGCGCTGGCTGCCGAGGGCTGCGCGGTGCACGTGGTGGATGATGCGTCGGTGCTGGGCACCGAGGACGCGACCGTGTACGATGACTCTGCCCGAGAGAAGGCTTTGCGCGGGGCCCTGCGAGCCTCGGTGGAGCGTCGCTTGAGTCGCCACGACGTGGTCATCCTGGACTCGCTTAACTACATCAAGGGCTTCCGCTACGAGCTTTACTGTTTGGCGCGGGCGGCGCGCACCCCGCTCTGCTTGGTCTACTGCGTACGGCCCGGCGGTCCGAGCGGGGGATATCAGGTGGCGGACGCGGAGGAGAACCCACGCCAAAATGTCAGTGTGAGTTGGAGGCCGCGCGGTGAGGAGGGCGGGAGACCTCAGGCGGCGGGCATCGGTGTTCTCAGGGAACCGCAGGCAGCGAGCTCTGTAGTAAATGGGAGAGCCCAGGCCGATGCGCCTAAGGAAGTGGAGCCGGAGGAAACCAGGGCAACGGATTCGCCAACTCTCTTGACTCCGGAATCCGAGAAATCTGCAAAGCCTGTGTCCAGTGCCTTTTACCCTCCCCAACTTCTGGAGGCCCTGACCCTGCGCTTTGAGGCTCCCGACTCTCGGAACCGCTGGGACCGGCCTTTGTTCACCGTGGTGGGCTTAGAGGAGCCCTTGCCTCTGGCGAAGATCCGGGCTGCTCTTTTTGAGAACCGGGCTCCTCCACCCCATCAGTCTACACAGTCACAGCCCCTAGCCTCCGGGAGCTTTCTGCACCAGTTGGACCAGATCACGAGTCAGGTTTTGGCGGGACTGATGGAAGCGCAAAAGACCGCTGTCCCTGGGGACTTGCTCAAGCTTCCTGGAACCACGGAGCACCTGCGGTTTACCCGACCTTTGACTATGGCTGAATTGACTCGCCTCCGTCGCCAGTTTATTTCTTACACTAAAATGCATCCCAACAAAGAGAACCTGCCTCAGCTGGCCAACATGTTTCTTCAGTATCTGAGCCAGAGCCTGCGCTAACCAAAGGAGCTAGGGGAAAGCCATCGCTCCTGTCTAACCGCCAGTACACTTTATTTCTCCGGAAAGAATAGTTTGAAGATTTGCAGAGCGTATTGATGTAGTACTGTACTAGAGCTATTCTGCCTGATTCACTCAAACTTTCCTGACTGCCTCTGTGCCAAGCCTTGAGTTTACAGCACAGGTTGAGATTAGAGAGAATGGAGAACTAGCTAGGAGGATCCTGTCATATTTGTTAAGAGGACAGATCTCAGTGGGGACAGTTGTTTAGAATTCTACTTGGTACATCACATACCATTGATTTTCCCCATCTGAGTTGTGGGAGAGCAGACTGGATGGGTGAGAATTGTTTTAAAACGATCATGAACAGAAACCGAAGTTGGCACAGTTCTGCATCTGCACTGACCCTTCTTTCATACCATAAACACTTTTTGAGTACTGTACCTACTTTTTGCTAGTCTCTGTCTTGCGATTGGGTTCCTAGATAGATCCATTGATTTCTGTCTTTGGGATGCTTTGTTTTTTGGAAATGAAAGACATAACCACTAGGTTATTTCCTCTAATAAAATCTTTTTTTTTGGCAGTTGGCGAGTACAGGGATCCAAACCCTTGACCTTGGTGTCACAAGGTGACACTCTAACCAAACGAGCTAACTGGCCAGCCCTTTCTAATAAAATCTTTTAGAAGTAGAGAGTCTGCTCTAATCTCTTTCACTTAATGTTTTCCATGTAACTTACTTAATGTAACATTTTAGATACACACGTGTCATTGTTATACCTTTGACTGAAATAGTATTTTGATAGTGCTCAGTGAGAGACTAGATGATTTGGTCTAACCTAGAGTGATTATATTATGACAACTTCCATAACTATTGTGCTTCGTTCTTTGTTTCAAGGCTAATATCACTGGAAGCTTGTCTTTCATTCTTTCATTGATTTCGCTGAATAGATGGTAGGTACCTACTTTACCAGTGCCTGTGATGTTCAAAGACCAATTAGATACAGTCTTTGTCCTTGAGAAATTGGTGAAAAATACAGACAAGTAAACAGATAATTATTGGATGAAAAGGGTGAGGGATCAGAGGATGATGACAAAATACAATGGGAACCCAGAGGAGAGAAGGACTAAGTAGCTGCTGGGGAAGGCTTTATTTATTTATTTTTTTTAAAAAGGTGACCGGTAAGGGGATCGTAACCCTTGACTTGGTGTTGTCAGCACCACGCTCTCCCAAGTGAGCTAACTGGCCATCCCTATATGGGATCCGAACCCGTGGCCTTGGTATTGTCAGCACCACACTCACCCGAGCGAGCCACGGGCCGGCCCTGGGAAGGCTTTACAGAGGACTTAACATATGAACCATCACTCTAGAACAATGGTCAGCAAAGAGCCATATAGTAAATATTTTGGGCTTTGTGGGGCATAATGTATTTAAAAAAAAACTGGACACTGATAAATGAATTACATTTTAACATGTCACAGAGTATTTTTGCTTGGCAGTGGGCCAGTATGGGGATCTGACCCTTGACCTTGGTGTTATAACATCACACTCTAACCAGTTGAACTAACCGGCCAGCCACATGTCACAAAGTATTCCCTAGATTTGCTTTCAACCATTAAAAAATGTATAAAAGACATTTGTATAGAATGGGCCCTACAGAAGTAGGCAGAGGGCTGGATTTGGCCTGCAGACTAGTTTCTGGACTCTAGAAGGATGAGTAGCAGTTTGCCAGGGAGAAAAGAGAGCATGAGATTTTAAAATGAATGCTCTGAAAGTGCATGGAGTTGTTTAGAGGTGGGGTAAATGGGCTACCTTTGCAGATGACATATTCCTTGCTTATCAGGTACTCTTGTTTCTGATGTACAAGAGAGGATTCATGGGTGAAATGGAGGTTAGAACTAGGCAACATCAAAGGCCTTTTCCAGCCTTCATTTTCCGATTTTAAGCTATTGATTATTGCCTGAATTGGGTTTAAACCCATAGATTCTGGATTCCCATTTTAAATTGAATCTACCTATGATGGTCAGGAAGAACACTGGTTTTGAAGTCAGACTTTTGAGCTAGCTAATAAGTGGCAGAACCTAGGTTTTATGTGGCCAAATATTTAATCTCTTGGGAGTGTCAGTTTTTTCATTTCTGTTATGAGACAATTTATAGTATCTACCTTAGGGTTGTTTTGAGAATTTTAATGAGATAATGTGTATAAAGCACATAGCGCAATGTCACATAATAAATTTTCAGCACATTTTGGCTGTTATGGTTATCTAGATCCTATTACCTACCTCCTATTACCTACCTAAACTTGGCCTGCTCATTTGGTTTACAAGCTTTTATAAGTATTGGAGACACATACATCCTAGATTTGTAGTAGGCCTAAGGAGAGGTAGCTGAATAATTCACTTGACACTTACTACATGAGTTAATTTATGTATATTTAGAATAGTGCCTGACACATAGTAAATACTATATAAGTGTTTGCTATCAGTAATATTGTATATGCAATACATAGGCGATATAAGGACAGCTAAGAGTTCATTGTTTTAGGAAGCACAAAGTCTAGTGGAAGGACATGGGTAAATAATAGATACAGTTCAATATGGTAAGTGCAGTGATAGGTGTTACAGAGCATATGGTGATACAGAGGATTGTGTGATAGAGCCAATTGTTGCCTACTTAGGACCCTCCTACTAGTTGGCATTTGAGCCTGGAGACTTGATATCTTAGGAGCTTCATCTGGCCAACATGGTTCAGGTGAATTATGTTCCATGTTATTTAAAAAAACAAACTTTTTTTTCTCCCTGATTATAAAAATTATATTCAATTGTAGAAAAATTGCAGAATAAGTATAGGGAAAAAGTCCACAGTCCCATTATCCACAGGTACCAGCTATAATGTTTTGATACGTTTCCTTATAGGCTCTTTATATATTTGTGTAACTAAAACCAGCCGATAGATAATAATTTTATATCTTGGTTTTTTATTTAGCATTATACAAATGAAAAAATTTTATTAACATTTTCAATGATTATATAACAATAATCATTTAGAAATACTGTAACATTCAGAAATATTGTAATTTGATGTTTTCTTCTATTCCACAATCTTTTCTCTTTAGCTTTAAAGCTCAAATTTTCAAAATTTACAGGAATGTCAGAATTTACCAATAATTTGGGCCGGCCCGTGGCTCACTCGGGAGAGTATGGTGCTGATAACATCAAGGCCACAGGCTCGGATCCTATATAGGGATGGCCGGTTCGCTCACTGGCTGAGCGTGGTGTTGACAACACCAAGCCAAGGGTTAAGATCCCCTTACTGGTCATCTTTAAAAAAAAAAAAAAAGAATTTACCAATAATTTTGTTATGGCAATAATTTATTACTGTCGAATATTTATATTGTTTACGATTTTCCCAATTGGAATCATACTACGTGAACATTTTTGTACATTAATCTTTATCTCCATGAAATAGTCATTTTATTTATTTATTTATTTATTTATTTATTTATTTTTTAAAGATGACCGGTAAGGGGATCTCAACCCTTGGCTTGGTGTTGTCAGCACCACGCTCAGCCAGTGAGCGAACCGGCCATCCCTATATAGGATCCGAACCCATGGCCTTGGTGTTATTAGCACCGCACTCTACCGAGTGAGCCACGGGCCGGCCCTGAAATAGTCATTTTATTAGAACAGATTTCAAGAAGTAGAATTACTAGATTATAATTTTTTGTTTTGCTTTTAAGTGGATTGCCCATGATGGTGATTATCCATAAGTCTTGGTGTGGAGCTTGCAAAGGTAAGTGCAAGTGCTCAGTCTAAAAATGAAACCTCAGATTTGTTGCCAAATGTTAACATTTAACAAATATTAGCATTGATTCTGGCCCAGCACTGGTGATTGCTTTAAGAAATACCAAAGAAATATATGAAACAGATTCCCTGCCTTCATTAAATTTGCAATTATATTTGCAAGGGGCTTTAGGAAAGGTGAGGTGATTAAGATAGAATTATGTAGAAGGATTAAGTGCTAAAATATGTTGTATGGACAATGGCTATTAGAGAAGCTGAAATCATGTGCAGAGGGAGACATGAGAAGTGGTTAGGGAGGTCTTCCTGGAGGAGGTGGGAACCAAATTAGAACTGAAGGTTATCTGATTCTGTGGCATGTTGCCTTTTTTTTTTTTTAAAAAGATGACTGGTAAGGGGATCATAACCCTTGACTTGGTGTTGTCAGCACCACACTCAGCCAGTGAGCAAACCGGCCATCCCTATATGGGATCCGAACCCGGGGCCTTGGTGTTGTCAGCACCACACTCAGCCAGTGAGCAAACCGGCCATCCCTATATGGGATCCGAACCCGGGGCCTTGGTGTTGTCAGCACCACACTCAGCCAGTGAGCAAACCGGCCATCCCTATATGGGATCCGAACCCGGGGCCTTGGTGTTGTCAGCACCACACTCTCCCGAGTGAGCCACGGGCCGGCCCAGGCATGTTGCCTTTTGCTATACCATCCTGCCACTTCCTCAATCAGGATTTTTCTTCCATTTGGTATGCTACACTTATAAAATCCTATTTGGGAAAGGAGTGTAAAATTAGTGTAATAATATGAATATATATTAGTGGCAGATTGTTGTTACTCTATTGTCTGTTACTTTTTCAATAGAAGTTATTGAAATATAGCTATAAAAAGCAAATAGTATTACTTTTTCCCCCCATGTGTATGCTGTTATCCTTATTTTATAAATGAGGTAAAAGCTTTAGAGAAATGAAGTCACTTAAGGTCACATAGCTATGCAAATGAGTGGCAGAAGCAAAATCATAATCCAGGTGTCCTGATTCTGGTTTTTCAGAGTTAAAAAAAAAAAGTTTCAGTTGTATCAGTCAACTCAGCAAATGCCTAACTATTGAAGAGAAATAGTGATGCTCATGCTCATTAGGGTTTGGATATGACAGTGATGTTTTCTTCTATTCCAAAATCTTTTTTCCCCCTAGCTTTAAAGCCCAAATTTGCAGAATCTACAGAAATTTCAGAACTTTCCCATAATTTCGTTATGGTAAATCTTGAGGTAAGACTTCAAGAGTTTCTCCTTTCTAAGATTTTACTATTTTAGAATTAGCATTATTAATGGCATAAAATCATTTTCAGCAGAGCTGGCTACTTGTATGTGTGTGTTTTTCTCTCAACCTCTAATACTAAAGCTTGCAGATATGTTAGAAGGCAATCTAGCATCTACTTTGGGGAGGAAGTGGGAGAGGAGAGTTTGAATAAGATGACTAAATGGTAAGGTCCCTTCATCCTTAATTTATGATTTTTACATCTTTGTGTAGCTGGACTAAAAATATAGTCATACGTGTAGGCCACAGTTCCCTGCATAATGTGATTCAGTTGAGCACCTACTCTGTGCTGGGCTTATTGTACACCTCCTGTTTTCCTCATGAGATATCCATTATCTACTTTATGTAGACTCTAGGTCTTGGAATCCTGAGTTATGGAATATCAGATCTTAGAGTTGGAAGAGATTTTTAGGCCATTGGTACTGTCCCATTTTACAAAAAGAACATCTTAGGTCTGAAGGAGGTGTGTAATTTGGTCAAGATAGTAGAGCCTAATAAGTAATAAGAATAGGTGTTATGACTTAGCTATACTCCCTTTTAGGCCATACTCTTCAAGTGTGGGATATTCAAATGCTCTAAGGTTATATTTCTAGCCAGAAATCTCTGTAAAGAGAATGTTTACTTAAACATAAGACTGGGAATCTTCATAACACATTAACAGTTAACACCAAGGCAACTAAGGGATTGCTAATATAGCTATTGGATAGCCTGAATGCTGATATACCTCACCAAGACAAAGTTATATTGCAGTTGAAGAAATGACCCTATTTAACACCTGAAATGGAAACCACATCTTTTTGATTTTTTTTAAAGATGACTGGTAAAGGGATCTTAACCCTTGACTTGGTGTTGTCAGCACCATGCTCTCCCAAGTGAGCTAACTGGCCATCCCTATATAGGGATTCGAACCCATGGCCTTGGTGTTATCAGCACCACACTGTCCCAAGTGAGCCATGGGCCAGCCCTCGGGAACCACATCTTAAATCGTACAATTACTGCTGATTTCCCATACACATGAACTCCTCACCACTTTCTATGATAAATTATGATCTCCACTCAAAGTAGATAGAAATAACATCTTCAGTTGAGCATTCTTCAACTCTGGAGACTTTTTAAAAAGTAAATTGAATGTGTGGTCCTATCTCTTCGTAGGACTGTGACTCCACAGTTGTGACTAAAATGCCAGTCTCGGGGCCGGCCCGGTGGCGCACTGCTACAGTGCGCCGCTTGGGAGCGCAGCGGCGCTCCTGCCGAGGGTTTGGATCCCACATACAGACCGGTGGCTCACTGGCTGAGTGAGGTGCGGGCGCAACACCGAGGGTTGCGATCTCGTTGCCGGTCCCGGTCCGGTACGGGCGCGACACTGAGGGTTGCGATCCGTTGCCGGTCACGAAAAAAGACAAAAAGGGAAAGAAAAAAAAAAAAAATGCCAGTCTCATTTATTCATGCATTCAAGAAATGTTCATAAATCCCATAGTTGTGTGCAAGTCAGTGATGTACATACTGGGAATACAGCAGTGAACAAAACAGAATTCCCTCACTAAAATAACATTCTAGTGTGAGGAGAGAGGCAAACAAATAAATAATTAAAATATGTCAAATGGTGGTAAATGCTATGGCTAAAAGTGAAGGGTGGAGAGGATGGCTTGCAATTTTAAACAGGTGGTTAGAAAAGAAGCTAACATTTGGGCAAAGATCTGAAGCAGAAAAGGGAGTGAGCCATGTGGATAATGGGGGAAGTGTGTCCAGGCAGAACGTAAGAGCAAGTTCAAAAACCTGAGTTACGAGCATGCTTGGCTTGTTCAATCACAGTTGCTTGTTTAACCTGCAACAATAAGCAAGTTAGTGTGGCTAAAGAGGACTGAACAAGGGGTACGACATGATGTTAGAGAAGTACAGAGGTGGCAGATCATGTAGGGCCTTGTAAGCCACTGCAAGGACTCGGGGATTTTAACCTGAGCAAGAGGGGAAGCCACTGAAAGGTTTGAGGAGAGGGAAGACATGATTTCACTTAAGGTTTATATTTAATCTTAATAGGATGAAGAGGAACCCAAGGATGAAGATTTCAGCCCTGATGGGGGCTATATTCCACGAATCCTTTTCCTGGGTAAAGTGCAGGATCTTAATCTGGGCATCTATGATATGGATGGAGAGAGAAGTGAATCAAAGCACTGACTCCATACCTAGTGAAACTATACTGGGATGGCCAAAAACAAAAACAAACAAAGCAAAACCAGTTTTAAGAGAGAGTGGGGGAGTTCTGAATGCCAAGTCTGCAAGCTCAAAGGAAAATTTCTCATTAACCAACTGCTTTTGTGAGCAATGACAAGAATTTGATCATCCATTTGTTCATTCAGCAATCATTTGAGCATCAACTATATGTCAAGCACAGTGCTGGGTACTATAGGGACAGAGATAAGCCCCAATTCCCACTCCAGACCCAATAGTGCAGCTGAGGCAATGGAATAGCATAACCAGATAAATGTCTTTCCATGAACAGTTTTATAAGAGATATTTGCTCAGCATCCTGCTAGATTCTATGGGGATACAAATAAAAGTGTATCATTCTGTCATCATCAAGCAGAAAAGGAACATGCCAAGAAGGGAACAGCATGTGCCAAGGCATGGGGGTGGGGGAATGTGTTCAGGGAATTTCAAGGAATTTGTTGTGATTACAGCCTGAAGTGCAAGGGGTAGGGTGGTGAGGTATGGGCTGGAAAGATGTGCAGGTCTCATTTCCCAGAGGGCCTAATGTACTGTGTAATGTTTGAAGTACCTCTCTGTTGTAATTTCTGCAAACCCTGTGCCATTTTGTCTACAATAGATCCCAGTGGCAAGGTGCATCCTGAAATCATCAATGAGAGTGGAAACCCCAGCTACAAGTATTTCTACATCAGTGCGGAACAAGGTACAGTTATGCTGAGAGAAATGAGGGAGGATTGCTCCTAGATTTAACTTGGATGAACCACATGCAAGGTCTGTGATAGGAAACTAAATTGACATGTTAGCTGGGCATCTCATGCATGACTAGCTTTTGACTAGATTCTAGGATACAGGATAAAGATAAGACTGATGCCCTTCCCTAGTTACTTACAATCCCGTGGAAGAGCTAACTGACCCACAGGAAACCATGAAGAACTAAGGCTCACAGAGATGGTCACCTGCCCATGGTCTCACAGTTAATAAGTCACAGAGCCAGGGTTTGGGTTCAGAACTTAGTTTTTTTTCCCCACTAATACTAATACTATTCTTTTTCTTTTCTTTCTTTCTTTTTTTTTTTGTACTAATACTATTCTTTCTGTAAGAATTCAGAGATTCAGAGGAAGGAAACACTAACTGTTAGTTGAACAAGTCTGAGAGCTTTCATAGATATTAAGCTTTAACTGGACCTAGAAGGATAAGAATTTGTCTCTGGATAGATAATGGGGAGGACATTTCAAACTATGGAAGTGAGTTGGGGGCAATGTAGCCCAATATATTGAGTCTGTAAGCCTTGCTAGAGGAGATGATGACTGGATTGAGGCCTGAAGAATGAGACTTAGTCAGCAGAAGAATGTTGCAAGCATGTTCCTGGCAGAGAGAACAGCATCAGCACAAACGGCTGAAGGAAGGTTGAAATCATAAGTCAGTCATGCTTTTTTGTTCTCTAATCCTTGAGCACAATTGTTCTAGAGGTTTGGGTTGGAATTCATACCATGTGTTGTCACTGTGGTCCTTCCTTTTCCCCTTCTCTACAAAAGGAAGTTGTTTGTGAAGTTGTCATGTGTCTCCGATTGCCATGCTGCCAGGTTGTTGATCACTTTATGTTTTGAGTCCTGGGAACTCTTATGCTCTGATTAGGGAGGGGAAGAGATCTGGAGATGTTACAACCTCCTTCCTATTGGTAAGGAAAATGTCGTTTTCCTTAACCAAATACACATCATTGGAGATTGGTATTAGAGGGAAATTTTCTACTTGGAGAAAGGCATCTGGGCTTTAGGTCCCCAACTCTTGTCCCTGGAGATTCACCTTCCCTTTAGAATTTCATCCTAGTCACCACTGCCATCTCCATACTGGAATAGTCCAAATGTGAACATAAGACCCTTCCCTGAATCTCCCATGGCTCAGCTAACATGAAACTAGAACAGTCAAACCTGGTTTTACTGAAAGCATAGGCAAAACAAAAGGGAAATAAACTTTATTATCTGGCTTTTATGAGCTTATAGGTTTGCTTTCTGAGATTCACAGACTCTGGCTCAACCTAGCTCCTGTCCTGCCATTGTATAGGGATGTAATTGTAGAACCACCACTCAGGAGCCTTACTGAGATAAGTGCCTTTCCTGAAGTCTAAATCCATAAAAGGGATGCCCTGAGACAAAAAGTTTCATCTCTGGCCTTGCTTCCAGGTTTCTTTTTTTTGCCTAAAAACTTGGCTTCTTCCTTGAATAGTTGATCCTGGAAATGATCACCCCCTTCAGTGGAGACCATCCCTCTCTCAGCACGCACGCACGCACGCACACACACACACACACACACACACACACACCCCAGTGTAATCTGTAACCGCCACATGAAATAAATGCAACATTCATCCAAAAGACTTAATGGGAAGATAGGAAGGTGTTCCCGTAGTGTCGAGTGAACATCTACAGTTTATGACAAGGAATCAACACTAATCCTAGTGGGTAAGCCAAAGTAACTATTAACATTTTGATAGGACTTCATAGTTTATAAGGCCCTTTTATTATCCATTCCTTCATTTAATTTTATAATAATCCTGTGTAAAGTAAGTAGAATTATCTCATTCTATAGAAAAGGAAACAAATTCAGACAGAAATATCTTGCCAGGACTAAAATCCAGAACTAAATCTTGAGTCCGTATCTTGTGTTCCTTTGATACTTTTCCTGTAACATTTAAAAATCTGCATTGTCAAATGTAAAATATTAAAGACCTACTTTATACTATTTTCTCCCAACTTTTGTCTCACAGTTGTTCAGGGGATGAAGGAAGCTCAGGAAAGACTGACAGGTGATGCCTTCAGAGAGAAACATCTTGAAGATGAGTTGTAACATGAATGTATCCCTTCTTTCATCAAAGTTGCTGTTCTGGAAGGAAAGCAGCAGTAGAAGGGAATATTGAGGAATCACCCAGAACAATTAAACCAACCAGGAAACCTTGCTCCTACCTGGACTGGAAGGAGCTCTCTCACTGTGGAAGAGTTCTGCTGCCAGAAGCTGGTCTCTGTGTTTGTGGATCCAGCAGAGTGCGGCAGACTTCCTTCTTGTGCTCCCCCTCACCTAAATGTCGATTTGTCATTGAATGTAAAGAATGAAACCTTTTGACACAAAACTTGAGCCACTTGGAGGTTAACTCCTCACACTTAAGGATTTGAGTCTTTTCTCATTTCCTTCCATTTCACTCATTGGTGGTAAAAGGAGACTAGTCGCATCTTTCGTACAATGTTAAAATTGCATAAATAACTTATCATTTTTTTTAAAAAAACAATAAATCCTAAATGTGAATCAGTAATTTTACCCCCTACCGAGGAGACCAGACTGTTTTTTCTGTTTTTCTCTTGGGAATAATCTTGGGCTTCTTCCCAAATCCCTGCAACCTCCTTCCTCTTTTCCTGCGTGGACTTTCCTCTTTGCACGCATGTGTGTGCAGGAATGGCTGTGTGCTTGGACTCAGCCCCAGCTGGAAGCATGCTTTCATTTATTACTGTTGGAGAAACTCAAACCTTCAAGCCCTAGGTGGAGCCATTTTTGTCAAGTTATCAATTGTATTTTTGTACTGGGGTTAAAAAAAAGATAAAATATCAATTGTTCCAATAAACTTTAATAAAACTTTAAAAGGAAATGTACTGTAATGGCCTTTTTGTTATCGGGAATGGATGGAGGGGATGGAGATTACTTTAGGAGGAGAACTAAACTCGAGGGCCTAATCTAGGGGTTGTAACATGACTTCTTCACCTCCCACATTCAAATGAGCACCAGGGCTCATTTACTTTTTAAACACCTGAATTCCCTCTGTCCTCACTATCACTATTTCAGTACAAGGCAGGCTTTTTTTCTTTCCTAGACTATTTATTGTGACCGCCCCTTATCTTGCCTGCTTGCCTCTAATCTTTCCTCCTACAGTCCATCCTCCTTGCTTCCCCCTGAATGATCTGTTTGAAACACAAATGTGTTTAAGGTATTACCTTTAAGGTAATAGTATTGACATTAGGAAATATTCAGATGCAGAATGTGCCAGTCACTCTTCTCAGTGCTTCCTGTGTGTTATCCCATTTAGTTTCCCTTTAGTTCTCCTAACAGCCCTGTGAAAAAAGTGCTATTATAATCCATATTTTATAGAAGAAGAATTTGAAACATGAAGAAACTAAGGTATAGGATAAAGTCGAGATCTTTATCATGGCCTTTAAGAAGATGCCCACTTCTTCAACCTCTTTTGCTCCCATACATGTCTTTGCATTTTTTGTTGTGGTGACACCAGATTGCTTTGAGTTTCCCTGATAACATGCGGTTTTATGCTTTTGTGTCTCATCTTGTTTCCTCAGCTTAAAACATTTTTTCCTTCTGCGCTTCCTTCACAACCCACCTCTTTCAGAGAGTCTTCCCTGACTTTTCTCATGATGATTAAACATCCCTCCCTCAATACATCTGTCTTAGCCCTGCTCCACTTTGTTGAAGTTATCTGTTTGCACATGTATGGCTGATATCAGGTGACCATTCTCCCCTAAGATAAGAGTTTTTTCCTGACCTGTGAACCAAGGCCAAAACTGTGTCCTTTCAAGTGACTCAGCAAGCTCTGTGGTAGGTTCTTTTCATCCATTCTCTTTAAATACCATCAATGGTCCTGTGGGATAGGTATCATTAACTTCATTTTATGGAAAAGGGGAACTTTGGAGAAGGAAGTGACTAGTCCTCACGCTCTAGACTTAAGTAAATACTGGATTCTAACCACTGCTGTCAATTCCAAGCTCATGTTTTTCCCACCACATTACTTTCTTTACATTCTGGTGTAACTCATTAGAACAGGAGTTTTCAATCTGGGGTACATAATGACTTTACAAGGGATACATGGGCACAGACACTTTAGTGAATTGATTTCCAGATCTTTGTCTTCCTAAAAGTGATATTCCCAGGATTCCTCAAAAAATTAAACATAGAATTAACATATCATCCAGCAATTCCACTTCTGGGTATATACCCCAAAGAATTGAAAACAGGATTTTTTTTTTTTTTTTTTTTTTGGTCTGGTAAGGGGATTGTAACCCTTGGCTTGGTGTCGTCCGCATCACACTCAGTGAGTGCACCGGCCATCCCCATATAGGATCTGAACCCATGGCCTCGGCGCTACCAGCGCCGCACTCTCCTGAGTGAGCCACGGGGCCGGCCTGAAAACAGGATTTTGAACACATATTTGTACACCCATGTTTATAGCAGCATTATTCATGATAGCCAGAAGGTGGAAGCAACCCATGTCCATTGATAGATGAATGGATAAACAAGAATGTGGTTTGTATGTAATAGAATATTATTAGCCTTAAAAAGAAAGGAAATTCTGACAACATGGATGAAACTTGAAGACATTAGGCTAAGTGAAATAAATGCAACACAAAAGGACAAATATTGTATTATTTCACTTATATGAGATACCTCAAATAGTCAAATTTATAGAGACAGAAAGTAGAATGGTGGTTGCCAGGGGCTGGGGGGTAGGATGAGTAGGGAGTTAGTTTTTAATTAGGTGTATTCTCAGTTTGAGAAGATGGAAACGTGCTGGAAGTGGATGGGTGGTGATGGTTGTCAAACAGTGTGAATGTATTTAACACCACTGAATTGAACACTTAAAAATGATTAAAATGGGCCGGCCCGGTGGCGCACTGGAGAGTGCGCTGCTTGGGAGCGCGGCGGCGCTCCCGCCAAGGGTTCGAATCCCATGTGGTGACCGGTTCCCGCTCACTGGCTGAGCGTGGCGCGGGCGCGACACCGAGGGTTGTGATCCTGTACCGGTCAGTAAAAAAGACAAAAAGGAAAAAAAAATGATTAAAATGATAAATTTTATGTGTGTTTTACCACAATTTAAAAAAAAAATGATTTCTCAGGAAATGTCATCAAGATATTTTATTTCCACCTTCCTTGTCACTATTTACCCTTTTCTGCTTTACAGAAAAAAAAGGCATACCTCTCATCCTAAATTTTAATGTGGTATGTTACCCTTGCTGTGAGCTATTGAATTGTGTCCCCCAAAGTTCATATATTTGAAGCTTAATTCCCACTAACGGTTGAGGGTGGAAAATCCTATCATGATAATGGAAAGGTGGGGCCTCGAAGAGGTGGTTAGATTGTAGGACCATGCCCTAGTGAATGGATTAAAAATGGTGGTCAAGGGCATGATTCTGAGGGCCTTAAAAGGAAGGTGAATGGAACTATCTTTCTCTCTGCTCTGCCATTTTCTGCATGTGAGACCCCTGGGTCACTGTCACCACCACCAAGGCCTTCACCTAATAGTGTTCCCTGGACTTTGGACTTCCTGGCCTCCAAAACTGTAAGCAATAAATTTCGTTTTCTTACAAAGTACCCAGTTCCAGGTATTTTGTTAAAAGCAACAGAAACAGACTAATACAGGCTTGTTACATAAAAACCTTTGGGGCACCAAACAAAAGGAAACTAAAATATTACTAAACTTCCTTGATTAGAGGCTTTTTTTTTTTTTTTCATGTACATAGTTCTATACTGAGCACAGTTTTGTAAAGAGCAAAACCTGACATTAGAAGTGGGGCAGTTTGCACCATTTGGGATATTTTGAGTTCAGGTGTAGTAAAGTGAGGTGCTGAAAATCTGCTTCTTCCAATCCCCGACTGTTACTAAAGAAGGCATTTCTCCTGAGGGAGAGTTCTAAGAGAGCATAGAGAAAATCTTGAAGTCATCCAGGTGACAAATTCATGACAAGACTTCACCTCTTAGAATTAGAATCTGGAATATTTTGAGTTAGAATCTGGATTATTTTAGGGTTAGAATTTGGAATTAAGATAGTTGTCATAGGAATTCATGTTAACTGGTTTATTTGCACTGAAAAATGAAGTGAATTATAATGTTGCCTCTGGGCAAAGACTTGAACAGATATTTTCCAAAAGAAGATATATGAATAGCCAATGAGCACATGAGAATGTGTGACATTAGGTATCAGAGAAATGCAGATTAAAATTACAATTACCGCTTCCAACCTGCTAGAATTGCTAAAATTAAAATAAACCCGGATGATACTAAGGTAGGGGAGCATTGGAGAAGGTGGAACTCTTATGGATTGCTGGTGAAAGTATAAAATGGTAGAACCACTTTGGAAAACAGTTTGGCAATGTTTTACTTATTTTTTTGGCAGTTAGCCGGTGCGGGGATCCGAACCCTTGACTTTGGTTTTGTCAGCACTGTGCTCTAACCAGCTGAGCTAACTGACCAGCCCTGGCAGTGTTTCATAAAACTAAATATACACTTACTGTGTAACTCAGAAACTCTAGAATTAGGTGACTGTATGGATTATATGAAACATAAGCATATATACTACACACAAAAGCTGTGCAAGAATGTTCATGGCAACTTTATTCATAATTTCTAAATAACTGGAATCAAATGTCTATCAACACATAAATGGGTAAAATGGGGTATATTTGTACAAAGGGGTACTACTCAGAATAAAAAGGAACAAACTACTGGTACATGCAACAACATGAATGAATCTCAAAAATATGTTGAGTGAAAAGACAAGCCAAAAAAGAAAAGTACATGAAATGAAGTTTTATAACTTATCTACAGAGTGAGGAAGATCAGTCACCTGGCATTGGGGGTGAGGGGAGAAGGAATTGACCACAGAAGAACAAGAGGGAACTTCCTGTGGTGCTGGAAATGTTGATTGTGATGGTTACACAGGTAAATACATTTATCAAAACTCAAACTGTAAACTAAACATGAGCATTTTATTGTGTGTAATTCATATCTCAATACATTTGATTTCAAAACACATATTTCAACTCACCAAAATGAAGTCTTTCTGAAAGAAAATCTGATTTAACTGATTGATTGAACATTGAAGAATGGGTTGGCCAATTAGGTAATATATAAAGCTTTCCTATAAATTGAATGAAAGCCAAGTGTTAGATTAAAATATACCTAACACACATGATAAGATAAATGCATTTTATCAAAGCTTATTATACTGGCAAAGATTTTATCAGCACTTTCTGAGGAATTTGGGTTATGCAAGATACCTCTAAAACAAGTGAAAAAGTCTGAGATGTAGTTAATAAGTATTTTTAGCAGGTCTTTGTGATATCCTTGCAGAAATTGAGAAAGAAAATGTCTCTAACAGGTAACAATTTTCTCTTTTTTCTTTTGCAAATTAGATGCTTTCTATTTCTTTGCTTACCAGGTGACCAAAAGAGGACCTACTTGAATTATTAATGGACATATCATTAAAAAATTTTGATATTAGATCACTGTGATTTTTTGACATGCAACTCAGAAAGATTTCAAAGAACTTAATGCTATTGCAATAATGAAGCTCCTTTCATTTTCATGTACTTATTTATGTTTACATGATTTTTCAGCATTTATATCTCCAAAAGTAATAACTAGTGTTAAGTAAAATTGCTCAAAACTTTCATTGTATAGCACTGCTGTAACAAGCCTGCCTAAAGGGTTATCTGACTTTCCAAGAGAATGTAACTTAATTTAATTCACTATTTACTATTAATTAGTGTCCGGACATTTTATAACTTCATAGAGTGAGATGTTAACTTGAGGAAAACTTAATAAGATGCAAATGATGACTTTCTCAAGGAGAACATAACCTCAAAG